CCCAAGCTGCACACCTAGTCCCCTGAGGGGAGTGCATGCCCATCCAGAAACATTTTCCACCATTATCCACACCTACCCACATCTCAATAACCACAATCTCCATCCTTCCCAAATTAAGTTTCAGTTTATTCTCCATTCTCCTCAGTATCATATCCATAAACTTGTTCAAAAATAACATTGTATTCCCTGGAGTATCAAGTGGAAAAGAGAGGAAGAGTAGTATGTCATGTGTGTTCTGGTAACTTTTCAAGCCCAGATGTCCAGATAATATCTTGGCTAAATGACTATCTTCATTGGTGCCTGCATAGCTGATGTTTGAAGTCATTATCATTGGTTCAATCAAGACACCCAAAATTGACCTCAGAGTTCAGGAGGAACAATTTTTCAGGCTTCCTACTTAGTTCTCTGTATTACAATAGATGTACAACTACTTCCAGAAATGAGGATCATATATCTAGCTTTCTCTTTTTCCCTCAGATTCTATGTCCTGCTGTGCCAAGATTCTACATTTCTCTCCTAGTGGTGACCAGTTACATGGAATACAACAGATAAATGTTATGATATGGAAAAGAAGAGGGGGAGCTAGATATTTGGCTGTCATTTTTGGCAGTAGCCACAAGTCTAGCATAACATTAAGTTTGGCACAAAGGTAATTAAAGCTGGGAAAAGTGACAGGGATTCAAAATGACAGCCTAATATCTAGCTTTCTCTTTTTCCCTCAGATTCTATGTCCTGCTGTGCCAAGATTCTACATTTCTCTCCTAGTGGTGACCAGTTACATGGAATACAACAGATAAATGTTATGATATGGAAAAGAAGAGGGGGAGCTAGATATTTGGCTGTCATTTTTGGCAGTAGCCACAAGTCTAGCATAACATTAAGTTTGGCACAAAGGTAATTAAAGCTGGGAAAAGTGACAGGGATTCAAAATGACAGCCTTCTGCCCATATGATGATCCTGCTCTTTGGGAATCTCAACTGAGTTCCCAGCAGTTGCTTTATTTTACAGTTTTGAAACCCTTTCAAAGTACTCTTGTAATGTCACATTTTTATGCTTCTACAAATTGAGAATTAAAAATGATGTGCTTGCCTTACATCTTCTCTACCTACGCATGCATACTGAGATGCTTCTGTATTTGGAATGTTGTTTCTGTTTGCTGTCTTCTGTTAAATCATATGTAATTGTTCTTTGGAATGTTGTTCCTGTACCATGCTACAGTTAATGGAGAGAGAGTGCCTTGCTGTAAGGCCAGAGCTTGAGAAAAACTAACACTTAAATCTTCCAAAGTCTAATGCTCTTATAACTCAAGCTAGCTACCCACCTGTTATCTGACCACAGTGTGCGTGTGTACATGGAATATCTAGCTCCTCTAAGTGGGTTATCCTGAATTGGGATTAAGGGACCCCTTTGGGTTTAATTGCTTTGAGGGCAAACATAGAAGCTGCAAGGCATTAGTCTTGTCATGCTTGCAGGCTAGGGGGGAGGTTTTCAAACTGACTGGCTGTTTTCTGTTTTGCTGGCACTCACAGTAATGAATTACCAGATATCTCTTAAATTAGGGTGCACCAAATGACTTCTTGCCGCCTTCTCCATTTTCCCTTCTAAGATTTGGCATTTCTCTAGGCCAGATGTGGGTAACTTCAGCCCTCTGGAACACTATAAGATTTGCACCACTGTTGCTGTGTCCCCATGAACTTCTGCCACAGCAGCAGAGGGCTCATTTGTGGTGGAATTTTGGTGCCACGCCATCATATGTCTTGTTAATGCTGCTGCTACAGCAGCAAGTTTGGGAGTGTTGGGGGAGTGCACCTAAGGCCAGAGCAGTAGCATTTTGTCTCCTTCTCCTATGGACCAAAGTGAAGGTTGTTAGTTGCTACAGTTGCTATTTTTCTCTTTCCTCACAGTTCATAATTGGCCTAACAGTCTTATTGGGTGGTCTCTTCTGTTTCCATGTATTGGTCATCCAATGCAATTGCCTGCTGATGTCATACAATTGCATATGGGGGAGGGTATTCTTCTCCCCCTTCTAGGAGCCTGATAGCCATGGAGATTGCATACTTTGTATAATTCTGTAAGTTTGGGGGCAGGGTACTGAGTGCATGCTGTTGCTTGCTTTTCTCTTAGTTTTAGCAAGCACATATTTAGCATTCACATTCTTGCTGGTCTTTTTGAGTAGTCAGCTCTATTTTTAACTCTACATTTCCTGCCTTTCTGCTAAGTTGTGTTTTCTTACCTTTCTTCTTCCCTGCTGTGGCTAGAGCCTCATCTTTGTGTGGTATCAGTAAATAATTTGTGGGGTAGAAGGGTTGCTATAGAGAACACTAGGGACAAGAAATAATACTATTTAATGATCAGTTTGCACTTACAATAGTGCTTTCTGGCAGATCATCACTATTCTGTTTTTACAGCTTGTGTGGAGCTAAGGCTGCACAGAGAGTCCCTGGCAGAGATAGGATTTAATGGCAATTCTCTCAGATCCAAGTCTTGATAATGTTCTGTTAGGGTCAGTTGTAAATACAGTTCTGAATGAGAGAGCATAACTTATCTTTGTGGTGTTAAATTGACCCTGTGCATGGATGAACAAATTCCAGTGTGAAGTGAGAAAGACAGGGACTTCCTATTCCTTGAGTTACTCCTACTCTTGAGTTACATCCAGAATGTCAAAGTGGAGGCTGTCATTCAGTGAGTGGAGACTAATTCTCCTAAGGATAATGCAGTGAATCTTCACATGCTAAGAAAACAAAACTTGACAGCGCTTGCGAGCAGGGAAGGAAGCACTCTGCTGTTTTAGTATTTACCTCAAGGACAGATAAGATTCTTAGGCTCTGAAGAACAATTTTGTTGAAGCCAAAGAGCTCCATGTATGCCACAAAAATGTACCAAGGTAACCCCAAATTCTGTTGTTCATCTGTGAATTTGTAGATATCAGCCTGTTCTGTTTCGACAAGCTATAGGGTAAGACACTGAAGCCAGTGCTCCTCAGCCATTGGAATCCTCTTCATGCACTGATGAGCTTACTAAGTGCTGGCCTCATTTTCAGACTTGTGCCTGTAGCTATAAAAGTTAGAAGTTTGCATCTTCAGAAAGAAACATTGAGATCCTTTAGGTTCTGCACAAAATGTTGCACTTCTGTAGGCATGTTTTTCTAAACAGTTTCAGTTATCTACAGTACCCTAGATAGAAGAACCTTGATTTATTTTTATTCAGTGATGGCATTAAAATTGCTCTACTATGTTTATGAAGACCAACTAACATGTATTTTTCCAAATAATTCTAATTGTTTAACCTCCTTGTTCATGGTTTGTGGCTATGTTTGCACGCTTTAGCTGTATGTGTAGAAACCAGGGAATGCAGAAACCCACCTTATTTCATTTATGTTTGTTTGTTTGTTTGTTTGTTTGAAACTTTTCTATACTGTCCCATCACAAATGTTTCTGGACAGTTTACAACAACATTGATAAAATAGAATAAAAATAAGAGTAAAAATTTCATAGCATCCATTATTCGGTGTAAAACCACAAGTTAAAACAATTTAACAATTAAAATATTGGGAGAACAAAAAAGTTTTTGCTTGGCACTACAAGGAAAGAAGTGTTGGCACCAGGCAAACCTCTCTGGGGAGCATATTCCACAGTCGGGGCACCACTGCAGAGAAGGCCTTCCTCTGAGTAGTCACCGCCCTGATCTCTTTCAAGGACAGCTCCCAGAGGAGGGCTTTTGCCTCAGATCTCAAGGAGCAGGAGGGCACATAGGGGAGAAGGCACTCCTTCAGGTATATGATATAATATGTTCCTTATATAATCCCTTGAAAATTATTTCTAGTTTCTGAACTGTTAGCGGATTAGTGATTTCTACATCCTTAAAGATCTGATCGATACAAGACACCAAGGTGCCTTGCAGTGTCATGGTAGAAATGCATCTTAACAAATGTTTGCTACACAGGTGGCAGGGAGGGAAATCTTATAAAGCTGCATTTCTGGTATGAAGATTATAGAAGTAGTAGTGGAGTTTATGCATTTGCCTGTGCAGGCATTTTAAAGGTTAAACATGGTACCTTTTTCTAGATTAAAGCTTGAAATGAATCCCTTAACAGACAAGCAGCTAGATAACCTGTGGCACTGGTCTCCTGTTGAGCCTGTTTGATTTGTTTGCCCTTCCTCCAGAAGAGCTCAGTTAATGACACTGGAGGAACTTTCAGCAAACTTTCACTAATTTTGCACCTGTAATCTCTTTTGCTACCCCAAACATCGATATTAGGTGAAAATTTCATGTAAGTTAGTCTCTTAAATTGCCCAATTTGGATTTTAAATGTAACACTGCCTTGGCCTGGAAATCCTTGGATCATTGCTTGAACTTAGTTGATTGGCAATGAGGGAAAGGGTTAAAGTTAGTTACTTTTCAAGTTTTTGACTGGCCTTGCATGCCTTTTAATTGACCATGGATTTTCTTATATTTGTTTCTCATTTAGACAGGGGGTGATAATTTTAAATTTAATAAATTCAAATGACTTGCTTTTCAAAGGTACACATTGTAGTTTTTTAAAGTTTTTTGTTTTGGAAAAGACGATAAGCTTCAGAATTTGGTAGTGGAGGGGTATGTAAATGTGAGAATTACAAGTAGGACTATGCTATATATAGAGTTGTAAAGAATATCTATCTTCTGTCATCTCTCCCCCCCCCCCCCCGATATTCCAACAATTTTGGCCCATTTAAGTTGATCCAATACAGTGAGGTCACAGGGAGGATTTTCCTTTACATTATGCAATAATTTGTTACAGTCCACCACATACTGAAAGCAGAAAAGAGAACATCATATCTATTCTCTTAGTTGGTTGGAGGCACCATGAATAAATAGGAAAGGTCTGCATTTAGTCTGTTCAAAGAGCAGGCTCACAGTGGCATAGACTGGATGGATTCCTCTATGGATTCTGTGGCTCATTATTGGTCCAGTGAGTTTAAGGTTAGTCACTGTTAACACAGCCTAATTTCTTCCCTTTGCAGACACTACCCGAAGCAGTCCTTCACCATGGTGGCAGACACTCCAGAGAACTTGCGCCTTAAGCAGCAGAGCGAGCTTCAAAGTCAAGTAAGGCTACTAGTGGTTCATTGCATGTTGCCAACTGCTATATTTTATCAATTATAACCTTTTCTTAGTAGCCTGCTCCAAACACCCCAGGATATTAGTTTTTAAAAAATAGACCAGTCTTAAACTAGAATTCTACTTTGTTATTGAAAAGGAAAGCTGGTGAAATATTGTCAGAGGAAATAAAATTAACAATGCTGACATGTAATGAACAAGTTCTGATAAACATTTATGACCTTTATGATTCAATAGTTGAGGGATATGAACGCAATGCTTCTAAAAAGCAGGAATCTGAATGCAGTGCTTCTAAGAAGATTCATTCCCTGAATTAAGGAATTGAGAACAGATTTTAACAGTCATTTCCAAAAAGCACAACATTCAAATTAATATTTTCCTGACATCCTCCAGCACAAGAGGTCCCCCCCCCCATCATGGCTTAGGACAAACTGAATGCATCACACACTCTTCTATAAATGGGTAGGGTATTACACATCTGCATAAGGATATTGCAGATCCGGACAAATGAAGATAAAACTCTTCATATGAAGTGTTAAAATCCATTGCACATCTATATGTTATGAATTCCATGCATGTTTATTGAGAAGTGAGCCCCATGTAGTCATGTTTAGAAAATCAGTTAATTTATAAGCATTTGCCTGTATATTTCCATATTTTTCTCTATGAAAGGCTAGAAACTCTTAAAATAAAAAACCTACATCTTAGTAAGCCAAACACTTTTTGTATCAGAGTTAACTTTTGCAATCAAGATAAATTCTGACAACTGGCTAGCAGAAACAACCAGAAGTCAAGTGACATTTTAAAGGCTAGTTGGTAATTGTAGAAGAAACAAACTCTAGTTCTACTCTGTTTATCAGATAACCTGCATGTGTCTGGAGGAGTTAATGGCTTTCCTTTGTAGTAGAAGTAGGGAAAGATTTTTCAGCACAAAGACCAAATTCAAAACTGGGAAAGGTATTGGGGACTGTGTTCCATTTGTGGCAGTGGTTGAAAGCAAATGGGTGGGTCAAAATGTGATTACTGATTTTAGACCTACTCAAATGTAAGCAGAAAAAGGGCTTCTGCATGTCTACTTAGAAGTAAGCATGAGTAGAATGTATGCTCATGAGAAAATAGGACAAGCAGATATAAGTAGCACAAGTTTCCAATATAATCAGAATCTCTCCATTGTTTCCTTGCCAGACTATGTCCCATCTTTCTTGCAAGGAAAAGCTTTTCTCTCCAGTCAGCAGCTGATCAGACTCCTTACTGCTCAGCAGGGAAAAAATTACCTCCAGTTAGCTGCTGATTGAAAAAAAAGAGCTTTTTCCTTCTAGGAAGTGATGATGTTTGGGAAAGAAGCTGCAGGCCGGATGGGAAACCTGCTGGCTGTAGCTTCCCCATCCCTACTTTTTACTGGCTCAGGCTAATTTTCCATCCAGCTCAGTGCCATCCTACCCTGTTGAGACCTTTTCTAGCCCTGCTAGGCATACTAAGGATAAAACATGGAATCTTCTACATGTGAAGCAGAGTGCTGTTGCTGAACTCAAAGCTTTCCGACTATAGTGTGTACGGAATGCTACCTATGAATGAACTTTGGGCAATGGGGAGAGAGAAATTGGTAAGGGGAAAGATTTATTTTCCCTGCTTGAGTAGCCACAACTCGAATAGTTATTCTGGGTGATTGAAAAATTGCTGAAGATCAATAATTCAGGATCACTTTCATTAAACCATATGAATCTCAAGTCTGTTTACTTGGAGAGGTTTCTCTGGTATAGATATAACATGGTGAAAGGAAAGGAAACATAATGTCATGTTGAACCTTTCTCTGTGATCTCTTCTAGGAACAAAATTTGGTGCTTAGTGTTAGTGTGATCACACACATGCATTCCCCTGAATTCTGACCCTCCTTTTGAAATATCTTCTTTAATAAGAGTCCATCGCACAGTAGGTTCCTGATTTCACAAATGCATCTTAGCCTTCCTTGTAACTCTCTTCAGTGCTGCCATTTTTGGTATAAGGAACTAGTAGCGTAGTTAATCATTAGGTCAAGTAAAATCATTAGGTCATGTAAACAAGTAGGGTTCTGCCATAGTTCACCTAAATTGTTACTCATCAGCTTCATTCTCTATCTCATGTATTTCATTCTCCCCAAATCTCTGTATTGCCTATTTAACATTGATTTATGCTCTCTGGAAGAGGGCTTTGTGTTAGACATCACAATAAAAGTATTTTGCTTACTAGCAATACCAGATACCATTTTCACATACTTGATGGTTCTCTGCATAACAAAGAGAAAAATGCAGCATTCAGTGTTTTCTTAAAAGTTGAGGTTCTTGAGGTGTTACATTTTGTGCAGTTCTTCCTTCAGGAGAGAGGGCTTACTATTAATTCCTCTCTGCTGAGCCAGTGTGTTAGCATTGTGCCTGGTAGGCATCTTACTTTCAAGAATGGAAAGTTGGTATATGTAGTTCTCATGAGCTTGTGGGAAAGAGGTAGCCCAAGAGAAGTTCATTTCTTCCTTTCCAGTATTATTCCCATGTGTACATAAATTAGTGAAAGCAAACAAGCTGCCAGCTTGATGAGAATATTCTCTCTTAACTGCTTAATTTGAATCCCACCCCCTAGCGCAGTTAGGAGTGCTGTTTCTTTCAAGGGAAACTGGTGTATTGCTCCTTTGTCTTAATCTGTCATATGGGGAGAATTTCAACATCTGTGCCCAATTGCAGGGACTTGAGGGGAACTCAAGGCAAATTGCCAAGGTGTTGTGTTGGGAGGGAGAGTGTGACAAACTGACCCAGAAACATCTTGTCCTAAATGCATAAATCCAAGGCCTAGTGAGGACAGGCTTAGTATTGGTATGTACTGAATAAGGCCTGCTTTTAATGTTGCAATTTTTAGCAAACATTTTTCGACTGAACAGCAGTATGAAAGCTGTTAAAACATTTCAGATGAGTACATAGGTTTGAATTAGAATACCTCCTCTCTTATCTCCTCTAACTGGAAGAATAGTAGAACTCTTACATTTTCAAATTGCTGTTCCTCATCCTGTAACCCATGGCAAATACAGGCCTCTAAGCCTTTGTTCCAAACACCTTTGCTACTTGAGATACGTACTAAACTCCCATCTTCTTTCACAGCACTTTCGTATAATGGTTCTGTGTATATATGTTGAGGAGCAGGAAGCCACCATCAACAGAAAGAGCTACGGGACAGGTGACAGCTATTGTTGGAATAGCACTATCATGCTACTGTGATCACTGGGGCAGATAGCTTTTCTCATGAGAGATGTCCCAGAAGCTGTGCTGGATCCGGAAGTGACTTGATCCTTACCCAGATGGTTCAGAATCTAATTAGTCTACATACTATACAATCTGGTAGATGTAGGAGCTCCTATTGAACCTTTTAAAAATGGTATCTGGGACTGCCAAATACCTCTGAGTTACATCTTTATTTTGAGTAGCTGAGGAGGCGTAGCTAGTTCCGATAGCTTGCCAGAAGCATACAATTATCTTCTGTGTGAGTAAACAAGTCCTTTGGTTGGATTTAAATACCTATAGTCCACAATTGGCCATGGAATAAGAAGGTTTATTTCCTGTGTTATTGCTTCCTCAGATGATGAAAATAGCACCTTGAGCAGTAAGGGCATGTCACAGGACAGCACCTGAATCTTAGGCCTATCCAGTGTAGGCTGTCTTACTTTAAGCCTCTGTTTAAGCCTTTACTGTGGTAAGCATGAAGCATCTGCATATTGCAGCTGTGTAGCCTTCATGCATCAAGTTTCTACTGGTTTGTTACCTATTTACTTTTGTTACGTGCAGTCATGATTTAACCCTGAACTGTTTACACTTCTGAAGAGTAAGACCCTTTCTTTCTGTGGCACATCTTTCCAAAAAAGAAGCCCATTTCCTTCTCCTTGGAAAATGTAGGAAAAGTCCAGGATGCAGTTGTATAACTGAGCATCCCCCCCGTCCTTTATGGAAAATGTTCTTGTAAAGTTTGAGCATACAAACAATGCAGAAATTGGGAATTATCTATAGGCGAAATAAGGCTGTTTGCATTAGTTCATATGAAAGTAGCTATTAATGTTTCTTGGCCTGCATAGTTTTTAGTGCAAACTTTGGACTTCTTTTTAAAAATGTATTTCCTTTATTAAAAAAGGAATAGCTTGCAACTAGTACAAACGTTGCATCAGTACAGTGTTCATAGTTGCATGGTGGCAGTTCTGTGTATATTCTACATTACACCCCCCCCCCAAATCCATACCAGGAAAAGCTAAAGACTAAAACTTGTATAAATCATGGAAATTTATGTATACTTCCTTTACAGAATCCATTCTGCTTCTCCTAGGACTAGGATCAATTATTTTGGAATTCTGCTTACACATTCCTCATTCCATCCTGATTTTTGAGATTGCATCAGACATTGGTCCACACATCATGTGTCTATTATACCTCTAGAGGCACAATTAACTTCATTTTTTATATGGAGACTGAGACTTTCAAATTTTTGAATTGTGTCTGATACCTTTCTGTGTACTTATGCGCAGACGCATAGCCAGAGAAGGTGAGCTGCTTAATCCAGAGCAATCATAATGATTTTACAATTGTTCTGGGATCATAGACATAGCTTGGTTAAACACCTGGAGCTCCTTAACAGGTGTGGCTTACTGGGTAACAAACTATATGCTACTTTGTTAGTGTGGTGAATAGAATTACTTCTCCCTGAAGAACCAATTGCTGCTAGATCCTTTTCCCTTCTGATTTCCCCATTTAGTGTCTGGCTTCTTTTGGTCTTACACCCCCACCATCCTCTTTCTACCAGCTCATAATAGCCTAGCATTGAGCAGGACATGGGAAAGAGCTGGCTGATTTGCCTGACTCACTCATGTCTGGCCTTCCGTAAGCATCAGAACTGAGCTGATTCCAGCTGAGTGCCCATAAAAGGACAGAAAAAATGAAAGCCAGCCTTGTCTGAGCACTTCCTCTGTTTGCAGTATTTTGTTGCTTCACCCTCTGGTGTGCAAGAGAAATGTTCCACTTGCACACAGTCTGCATAACTTCAGTGGGCATATTTCTTTCCTGAAATTCTTGTCCATTATAATTTTTGATTTTATTTGGAATATTTTAGATTGTTCACCTGCTCAATGAATGCATGGGGTGATATTCTTTCTATTTGTATGTAGTACACCAAGGTGAGACATTAACAGTATTGTCTTCCACAGGCACCTAAAATGTCATAAGAGAAGACTACCTTTACCACCTTGAGAAGGGAATTCCATTACTGGGGTGCTGCTAAAACTATAAAGGCACAATCTTGAGTAGACACAAGCTTTGATAAATGTAGGAACTAGGGCATGTAGCAGAGTGTCAGGTGATTAATGCAAATTTTGGGCAAGCTTATACAATATTAAGGGGGGCTGTAAGGGTGCAAGGTATGGGCAGTTGGGTAACAGATAATGCACAAGGACCCACAAAGCAAGGCAAAGTGGTCAAATCCAGAATCCAGTTTTCCAGTCCAAATCATAAGTCCAAATAGCAGAGTCAATGAGGCAAAAGACAAACCGGAAATCCATTGTAGCACAAGAGAGTAGTCCAACACAGGCCAGAAGTCAAGAGCCAGGAGACAGCATGAAGGAGCAGTTACCTTGGAGCAGGAACAGGGGCTAGAAGCAAGAACCAAACACAGCAAGAATTTCAATATACTGGAGATTAATATTGCTGAGGCAGCTTCTAGGGGGAAGAGCCAGTTCTTAAACAGCTCATCCCCCAAGGGCTTCCACGTGGTGCTCATGAGTGCATTTGTCCCAAACTGCAGCAGACTGTGGGACAAATCCTGCAATTACCAGGGCTGTTATTCTGACACTTGGCCAGCAGGAGGAGCCCTGAAGCTGCCCAGATCCTGACAGGGCAGTTTTTCAGATATCCTGGCTTCAAAATATCTAGGGCTTTACAGCACCTTGCATTGATTAATCTCAGGATCAAATTGAAAGCTAGTGGAATGTCTCAAGACCTATGTCACTTGATTTATAAAATGCATAGCAGATAACAGTCTGGCCACTGTATTTTGCACTTGCTGATGTTTCCATACCATCTTCAAGGGTAGTCCCATATAGAGCACATTACACTAATTTAAACATGATACTGTTACGATGTGGAACGATGGCCAGGAAGGAAGCTGAGCAAAGTTATTCCGGACCATTTAGAATTCAAGAGGATGTCAAGACTTGTACCTGATGATTCAGAGGGAATACTGTTGTTTTCAGACTAGGCTGTACTCCCAACCCCATGTAGATTTGAATTGGTAGAGTAGATAATTTGACAAGTTGCATTTTAGTCATGTCTGTTACGCTTACAGTTTTGAGAGATTTGACTTCTCTTTACTGTATGGGAACATCCATATATGTTGACCAGATGAAGCTGCATGTGGGTTGCTTTCTGCTGACTTGACATCCAAAACTTAGGAGGCTGTCAACTGAGAATCAAAGCAGTAAAGAGTTTTCCCCAAAAAGGAGGATGGTGAGTGTATTTCTTTTCAAGTGCGATCCTTCAGCTTTTAATCTTACTCAGACAGGCATTCCACTTTTCCCACATTCCATGCGCCTGTAGGTACTCCAGAAGGCAGGGAACTAAACCCAGTTCCCCTTTTGCAAACACCCTTTTTGACATGTATCAAAATAAAAGGTATTTAAAGGTATTAGGCATATCTGAGTGGGGGTTTTTGGACAGGGAAATATACACAGATTTTATGAATTCATAGTTTCCTGTCTGAAAAAAAAGAATCTCTATATTTTCCTGTCAATAAACAAATGCAGAAATTTGCCAGAGAATTGTAATAGGATAATCCTTTCTTTTGACAACTGTCCAAAAAAGTTCACAAAAGGGGGACAGTTTTATGATCTTTACAGTAGCTGGAGACTTGGGAAAGTGAGGAAAAGGCAGGAATTCTGGGAACTATGCAACAAAGCCCTACAGATCACACTGCAAACGTAGAAAGAAATCACTATGCCCTTTTGAGAGCAGTGATCCCTCACACTTGTATAACTCCAGAAAACCACCACCACCACCACCACCACCAACAACAACAAAAGAAAATATTTGCACATATTCAGCTTTGCTTTTAAAAAAAGTGGCAAACTAGCAAAAGCCCCTCTAGCATGCTATTTGTGTGGTCTGTCAGAGAATAGGAATATAATAGGCAGGAATATAAATGCCATGTAAACGGCAACAGCAACAACCCATAGTGAGCTTGATCATCTATAAAGCACACTGGATTGTTCCACAAACAATGCACACTGCATAGCTTATTTGTAGGGTGGATTGTTTGTTATGTGAACTCAGCCACTTATGTGTTAATTGAATAGACTTTTTTGTCTGTCCTTTCTCATTCTTTTATGCATGCATGCACACACACACAAATTTAAGCATGCGTATATATGGTGTTTGGGTGCAGATAGTCCTTAGCTTAGACCCACTGAAAAAATGGCTTTGTTTTCAGAATGACTAACTTTGTATCCAATCCAGTATGTATTTGTGTGGTCTGAATTTCCCAGAATTATTTTAAGGCAATCGGTTACTTAGTCAGTTACTTTGAGGGGGTGAGGAAGGGAATAGACATGTGAAAATGAGTGTAGAGGGGATTTAACTAGCAATGACATTGGTGGTTTTAACTTCCTTAATCTCTGAGAATATAACTCCATGTGATTCTTATCTCTAGCTAATCAAACACCAGTGACTCAAATCAATTTCCACATGGTACATTTAGAAAGTTCTCCATGGGAGGGCTGAAACCTCACAAGCTCTCTGTATCTTCATTCATTTAGAGTATATCTCATCCCACAACTTCAGCCATTCATACATTTGGTTAAGGTTCAGTGGCATGTTTCAGTCTGTGTGATATTCTCATATGAAGTCAGTTTTATGAGATAATTCCAGAATTAAAGTTGGAACCAAAAAATTGAAGGACTTGGTGAAAAAATGGAATGTTTTATTTAAAGTAAGTTGATTGTCCCATATGAAAATTGTGCAAAGGTAATTTAGAAGGCAGTTGTACACAAGTTCAGTCAGGAAAAAAAAAATCCTAGCATGCTCCATCCAGTTTAGCAGGCCTTTTTCTGTCTGGACTTCCACAGGATTGTGCTTTTCATTGCTCAAATGTAGTACAGTGGTACCTTGGCACACAAATGCCTCAGTTCACAACCAAATCAGGACACTAACAGAAATTTCTGAAAAATTTTGCCTCAGGTCGCAAATTCCACATCAGATGACAATTGTGATCCCGCCTGTCTCCCCCAAACATGCCTGTGATTGCACCCATCTCCCCCCAAAGCATGGATGACGGGCGCAATCGCAGTCATGCTGTGGGGAGGGATGGCTGTGCTTGGGGTGGGGGTGGGAGGGAGATGGCTGTGTTCTTTGTTGTTCTTTGTTACTTTGCTTCAAATTTTTGTGATTAAAAAAATAGTTACAGAACGGATTAACCTTATTTACATTGAACCTTATGGAGAAATTCAGCTTACCTCATGACCAATTTGGGTCATGACCAGAGTCATGGAATGGATTAAGTTCATGAGCCAAGGTACCACTGTATTACTAATTTTTATTTGTATATGTTAATAGATGGTACCTTTATCCAAAAGGTGATTTCAGGTGGTATACACAAAAAATTAAGTATTTCCTGTAATAGAAACAGTTTAAAACCTAAACATAAATATCTTAAACCTAGAAGTGAAAGGCATAAAAATGATTTCAAACAGCTAAAAAATTAAAAACTTAAGTTTAATTTAAATTTTAACTTAAAGTTAAAATACCTGGGAAAATAAAAAGGCTACAACTTGGCACCAAAAAAGTACAACACTGGTGCCAGGAGAAGTTCATTCACAAAGCTGAAAGGTAGTGTGGTGGATTACACTGCAGACCTGGGAGATCTGGGTTCAAGTCCCCAGTCAAGATGGAGGATAGAAAGAAGGCCAGAATAGAATATTGGACTGGGGATCAGGCTATCCAGGTTCAGATCTCCATGCAGTCATAAAAAGTCACTGGGTGATTTTGGGCCAGGCACTCATTCTCAGCTTAACCTGTTTCGCAGGGTTGTTGCGCAGATAAAATGGAGTTACATAAGCCAGCTTGGCTTCCATACAAGAGGAAAAAATGGGATAATAATGTAATAATAAAACACATATTTGAGGGAATGTTTGGTGCCAGTGGAATAAATGGAATTTAAATAATGCCTGGAATCAGCAATAAAATGGCTGTTTAAACCATTGAACTGTTAATTTAAAATAAGTTTCCAATTAATACTATGAGTGATTCCTTAACAGTGGTGTAAATCTGGCCAATACACAAACCTTCTTCAGCTTAGCTTCTTGATGTGTTGAGGGCCATGCTGGCTGAAGATTATGGATGTCATAGTGCAATACATCTGTATAGTATCAGAGTGGGAAGGTTGCACTAAACCATGTTAACTTAAAACTAAATTGAGGTTTTTTTCACTTTAATTCTTACAGTCAGGCCTTGCTTCTATTTGCATTTGCTTTGCATGCTTTCCTATATATACTTACAGAGGCAGTGTACTTAAAATATTAATTATAGCTTCAGTCTTACCACCAGTAGCCATGACAGCTTAAGATTATGCATGTACACCTGTACACATTTGCCTGTGAATGGGTTATACTGAACTCAATGGGACATACTTCTGAGTGGATGTGTATAGGATTGCACTATAAGTATAGGAGTATTTATGTAGGAGTCTGTTCATTGGACAAGCTTTTTTCTGCTCTCTTGTGCCTTTTCTCAGTCCTACCGTCAAGAAAACAAAGTAGCCAATAAAAGTGATATGTTTATAACTGATGGGGAGAAATAAGATCTTACAATTACTGGGCAAACAAGAGCAGGTTATTTTTATCAGGTGAAAATGAAATGCCTATATCTAGGTAAGTGTAAGTATTTGAGAAATGGTCAGATCCATTTTGTCCACATAAGATAATGCTTCTTTTAATTCAGAGTTACCTGGTAGAAGGCATTGGTTCAATTTAGTGATTAACTGTACAGCTACTATGCTAATGTAAATATTTTAATATTAAACCATTTACCAAGTTATTGAGTAGCCTGGTATTTGCATTTTAAAAAAATAAAAAAAATCCAATTGATACATTGAAGCAGCATGGAACAGAATTTGCTGAGCTTCTCTTGCAAGATCAGTAGGAAAAAAGAAAGAAAGAAATGAGATGTTACCCCTATATCATCCTGTGACTTGAACCTTTTATTTAACCAAGAATACATGCATCTATAAATTATCTTACTAAAATGCTTTTCTCTCCTCCTCTCCCTGTGGAAAGCTGGTATTCTTAAAACAGTTTGCTGCACTGCTTAGGTGCCCCAAGTGTCTTGAAAGCTGTGCAACTGCCTGGCTGATAATCTATTGTCCTCTTAACCCAACCTCAGGAGGAGGATTTCAGTGTACCACACTGCACTTTAGAAGCTCATTAAGCATCTAAATGATACTAGTAACTAGAAGGACAATTTGAACCTTCCTCCTGAACTTGGCACTTCACAGAGGGAGGCTGTTTCTGACCACGTCTAAAGATCAACCTGAAAGTTTCTAGTGACACTGAATTTTACCAGGTCACAAAAGCCTGCCAAAATTTGTAGACTCCTGTATGTAGGATATATTTTTCCAGATGGAGTGGTAGTGAGCTCAGGACAGTTTGTGTCAAATGTGTAAAAGCTCGGTGCATAGAGTTACTGATTTATAGCACGTGCTTTGGTTCTGTAATGAAACGGAATCCACTTGGCATGAAAGCAGAAGTTGTAAAAAAAATCTGGTCCTGAATGCCAAATGTTTTGCAATATTATTATTTTGCAGTATGCTACTTATATAGAATCTCTTAGATCAGAAGTTTTTATTGGCACATAGGTGGCAAAGTAGTTGATGTGGAAGGATCTTGTCTCTATTTACTGCAACATAGGCAATAGAAATAATAGGGTCAGCTGTGAAAGACAGACGATCTATAAACTAAGAAAATGAAACATTTGAAAAATCCAGAACAACTTCCTAGTTCTAAAGGAAATGGCATACAGAATTTGATTTTTCACCTTTGTCTATTTTTTCATGTTTATTAAAAATAGAAATAATTGGTTGACCACTGTAATTATCCAGAGGGGAAATGTAAGTCTGGATTTGTAAGTCTGTCATGACATGATGGGGGTGAACAGTTTCATATGTTAGCTTCATTAAAATAAAACAAATTTTAAATTGAAAGGATCTTCATCAGTCCTCCCTAACATGGTGCCCTCCAGATGTTTTGATCTACAACTCACAATGTTCTTCATCTGACTAGAGCTGATAGTAGGTCGAAAGTTGGTTGAAATCTGGACGGCCCTAGGGGCTGATTTATGTTTATAGGTCATAGAACTTGTTTGTTTGTTTTTAACAACAAAAACACTCTCTACCCTCATTATTTCTTTTTAACATTTATATCCCGTCATTTTTCCTCTTGCAACAAGGAATGCAAGACAGTTTACATGGTCATTCTCTTTTGCATTTTATCCACATAAAAAGCTCGTGTTAGGCTAAGAATCTGCGATTGGCCTAAAGACACCCAGTGAACTTCATAGTGGAGTAGAAATTAGAGGTGGATTCCCGAGTCCCCTTCCAGTATTTTAACCACTATATCACATTAGTTGTGTAATAAAGCATAGGGAGCATGTCTGTGTTGAAGAGGTTTACCAAAAAGATGATTTAGGACCAAGAACCAGGATTTTAGTATCTTCCCCTGCTCATCTCCTTTTCCCTGTTTTCGGTTAGGTTACCTAATCCTGATACCTGTGCTTTTTCTCATTCTGCCCCATCATATGCAAATTGTTAATCCCATATCATTAATATTTTATTATTTATTGTATGGCGTATTTACATCACACTTCAATAAAAACACAACAGGCATAAAAACATGACATACAAAATACAAGGTCCAAACATTATAAACATATCTAAAATACAGATATATATTTTTTGCTTCAAGACAGGAATACAAAAGGTCTTTTGCAGGACCTTATGACAAAGAAGCTTGGCCTGCTATCAAGATTTGTCAATTAAATATAGAAGGAATAAGCAGGTCAAAATACCAAGTTTTATAAAGGATTTTAACAGATAATGATATTGATTTAAGACTGTTTCTACATACATTTTCCTAACCTAGTGTTGGCCTTTGCCCAGTATGTCATCAAGTGCTTTTCAGTGGCAGCAGTATATTACACATGTCTTAATAGGAGATGTGGCCTGTGATCATGTGAAAGATAGTGGTGCTTCTCTTGGGATGTCTTACCAGGTGTCTGCTCCAGAAACTTAGCTATCAGTTCACCCCAAAGGGCTTATATTATGCTCCAGCTGAGTGATATATAATTAATGTAGTTGCTAACGGCAACTAAAGGTGTTTTTGAAACCTGGCTTCTGTATGATTTTGACTGTTTCTGCCTTAGAACAATTGTGAAATTTCTTGTTATTTGGGTTTGTGGTCCACATCCTGACACTGCAAGCTGTCTTAAGAAGTTGAAGGACTTAAGGTAAAAATTATCATGTCTGTGTCTTCATATCAGGTTCGCTACAAGGAAGAGTTTGAAAAAAATAAAGGGAAGGGCTTCAGTGTGGTTGCTGACACTCCTGAATTACAGCGAATCAAGAAGACTCAGGATCAGATCAGCAACGTAAGTTGCCTTGCATATTGCCCTTTCAGTCTATGTTAAGATAATTAATTTTGTTTTGTAAACTTCAGAGCTACTACCCAGGCACAGCTTGGCTTTAAAAGTCTCCTCTATAAATGCTTAAATTCTTTAATGAGAGGTTTTATAGATTGGGTAGTATTGCAGAAATTTCTTCCTTTTGTAAGGCAATCTTAGCCATGTTTGTTTCATACTGCAAATGAAGCAATACATTTGTAGTGTTTTCTAAAGTTCCAAATATTGAACTTTAGTTCTTATGTTTTAAAACTGGTCTTTTTCTCTATTTCTATTTGAAAATATAAAAATATACAAGCAGAGCTTTGTAACATAGGGATAAAGTATTATTTTTATCATGTTGCCTAAGAAAATGTTTCCCATTTCAGTTTACTTTATAGAAAAGAAATTGTCTTGACAAATTTAGATTGGGTCTGTTCCTTAAACACAGTAAGAGGAAATCACTTAAAGTCACAGTTCACAACTTGTCATCTTATGTTGAATTTTCTAAGGCAAAATAAAATGCTGAAACCTGTGACCACCTTTTAAATTGATGTTTTCTTTCCTACAAAGAACTAGGAAGTCAGTTTAAGCAAGAAATATGGTCTTAATTGCAAAGCGTCTACCCTGGATGAAGGTTTTGGATTACATAATGTTTTCCTTCACCTTGATTGCAGCCTTGATACATGTAAGCCTGTGAACTCAGAGGTTTATGAATATCCAGTGCAAAGTGGAAGGAGTGATGGAGACAGTTCAGTTAAACAGCTGTTTCTGAGAAAGATCTCCAGCTCTGAGGTCAGAGCTCTGTTTTCAACTTCAGGTTCTGAGCTATCCAGTGGACCTCTAGATGTATAGTAAACAACCTTCCAGGAAATATAAACTACTTTGTTTTAGGCTGTACTTTGAATCACAGCATTTGCTCTTCTGTTATATTGTGTGATTGGGGTTATGAGAGCCAGTGATTTATCCCTAGCAACAAACGGGTTCATTTTTCTGAGTTGGGTACTGTTCCTCATAATGTCTCCTAAAAACACTACTTGCTTTTGTCTGTTATTCAGGGGGAAATCGCCATGTGTTGTTGGTTTTGGCCATGAAGTTAGAAGCTTTTTTTAATAAAAGAAGTGAATTTTATTTGTTGCATAATCAATTATCCATCATTTATACTCTCTTACTCCAAGATTTATTTATTTATACTTTCATTTATATGCCACCTACTACCATAGTCTCAAGGCGACTGATAGGAATAATATGCAAAATTTAATATTCTTGAAAAAGTAAAATCTTTCATAGTTTCAACTAAACATTTTTGTTTGTGGAAAAACAGTGTTTGGTACTGAATTTATGTATCTGGAGGATTTAGACCTCAGGGAGCCAGGAATCCCAGTTCTAACAGTTCTGGCTTAACCCTGGTGTAGGTCAAATAATCAGAAAATTATAGCCACATGCACACATACTTCTCCCTCCCACTTTTAAGAAAATAGTGTTGTTGTAGTCCCATTGACCTCTGTTTCATCTCCTGCTATACTCAGAAGGCTTCATCTGAGAGAAATGAATGAGATGCTAGATTCTCCCAGGCAGATCTGTGTTGAAAAGACATGGGTTCAGCCTTCCCTACCTGTTCTTTTTAGAAGTTGCGATGGAATTGGGGAGACCAGCCTGACATTGGCTTGTAGGGAACCAATGGGAATAAAAGAGGAAGTTGATTTCCTCCTTCACAATTTCTTCATGTAGGAAAACACCAAATATAGAGGCTATTCACAAGACAACATAGTTCACCAAGGGTTCTGAGGCTACAGGTTGTGCAAGGTGTATGGGGTCACTGTTTTGAATATGTAGATGCCCTCGGGTTGTTGTGTCATGCAGACATGTGAGCACCAGTTATGCAAGGATCAAACCCAGGTATAACCTTAAAACAAACAATGCATTACGTGAGGGTTGTTTAACCCTTGCATGACTCATGCTCACTTGAGTCACATGACAGTTTAGTTACATATGCAAGCTGGCACCCATAGAGTCCACAGCTCATTGTGAGTTAAATAAGCTGCAGCATGTTGTCCAAACCAGGTTAGTCTTGTGCTCATTCCCTCCTAAATGGTATGCATTTCCTATCATAACAGTTTTGTGGTAGAATATGGTGGCTTACTTAGAGGATGTAAGTCTCATGCATTGGGTCTAAACTGATACTCCCATCCATTTCACCACACTACCCCTGGATCATTTGTTTTGTAACTGTCACATTAGCACTTCAGCTACACAAAGTACTTCCAATTAAGAGAAAACTACTTCAGGTTCTTAAACAGAGCCGGTGTGGTATAGTGGTTAAGAGTGCAGGACTGAGACTCAGGCAATCTGGGTTTTAGTTCGCACTCAGCCATAGAACCAATTGGGTGACTTTGAGCCAGTCAGACTCTCAGCCCATCCTACCTCACATGATGGTTGTTGTGGAGACAAGATTGGGGGGGGGGGGGGGAGGAGAATTATGAACCTGCTTTGAGTTCATTGTAAGGAAAAAGTGGTAAATAATCTAATAAATATATAAAGAACCAGTGGAAAATCAATACTTGCATGGCAAGGCATAAGGGATTATTTTAGAGCTACTTATCATGGTTATTCATGCTTCCTATTCTTCATTCAAGTGGGAAAGGCTGAAAAGAGCATATCACTTGCCGAGGACCATCATGTAATCCTTTTGAGATGAAATTTGAACCTGTAATCCCCCAGTGATACTTTGTATGCATTTTTCCCAATTTGGTTCCATTCAGATGTAATGATAGTGCTTTGGCAAATGCCATTTTGAATATGCAACCTCAAGTTGAAGGTTGCTTTGTGACTCTGAAACCCAGATATTAATTGCATGCTAAAGAACCAACAGCTAACCTAAGAACTAATTGTAACTTAACTGTGGGTTGTTTCACTCATGATTAGTATCAAATATTTGCATTTGGACACCGCAGAACCAAGTCATGGACTTGGTGTGTATTGACCCTACTCTAAATGGATGAGTATTGATTCTTCCTTACAAGGAATGTATGGATGGGAAAAGTACTGTATTTTGGAGGGAAAAAGTACCGTATTTTTCGCTCTATAAGACGCACCTGACCGTAAGAAGCACCTAGTTTTTAGAGGAGGGATCCATGGAAAGCTTCCTGATAATCACAGGCACATTCCCCATCACTTGCCCATGGGCTTCATTAAAAGACGGGTTGCCATTTGAAAACACACACCGACCTGTGATTAACGGCTCTTACCTGCGCCGGAGGAGGGGGGGGGCGGAGCAGGGCACGCCGAGTGCGTGCTGGCCAGGTGTGGTGCAGCCGGGCTGGCAGCGTGCCGGCGGTGGTCTTCCAGGTGGCACGGCGGTGGCAGGTCTTCCCGGGCAGTGGGGGTGAGCAGTCCGTCTCTCCATGCGGCCGGTGGGTTAAAGCCCGCGGCTCCTCCTCCTCCACACTGCTTTCCTTGAGCGGCACAGCTCTCACCTGCGCCGGGGGGGGGGGGGGGGGGAGCAGCGCACGCGGGGCGCATGCTGGCCAGGTGGTTCCATGTGGTGCAGGCGGGCCGGCAGCATCTCGGGCGTCGGGCACACACACATTCGCTCTATAAGACGCACAGACATTTCCCCTTTTGAGGGGGGAAAAGTGCGTCTTATAGAGCGAAAAATATGGTATATGTGCACAAGTGGCAGAAGCGTAAGTTTAATATAAGCTAGGAGGAGAAGGGAGAACCATGTGAAATACCCAGGTCTTCCATGGTTAAAATCAGTGTTTGATGATGTCTCAGTATCCTCTTTGTATCACCCTAGCTGAAGAACAGGTGACTTCAAGCCTTTTGATTAATCTGCCCTCAGTAATTTGCTTTGACTCTCTGGTGTGAACTGGCACTCTGGGAGTTAATTCTGGGGGAGCCCTGCAGGATAAATTTAATCCCACAGGAATTCCCTTCCCAGGCCCTTTGCACTGTGCTCTCTATTGCCAGACACACTTTGAGCTTTTAAATCTGGTAATTGCCTTTTTGTTTTGCTTTTTTCATTGTCAATTACAGATGCAGTCCAGTACCCCCCTAGCTGCAGATCTCCCAGGGCCACAATTGGATGTGTGCCTTGGGAAAGTTTTTGTTGCTTTTCGCAAAACCCAGTTTAGACCAATCACCTTGGGAAAATTTGTGATGCAACTGAGCCACACTTGGAGCATCTGTCTTCTACATCTACAATGATGTAGATTCCAGATTTATATCTATGTATTCTCTGAGGGATAAATTTCTGGAAAGGATTTTTCTCCTAATTTGTCACATAAGATTTTTTAAATGGTGGAGTTAAGGCACTGCTAAATGAAATTAATAATTAGTTGGGCTATGTGTGCAGCAAATATAATCTGCTTAAGCATTTGAGCAGTCTTTGTTTGGTACTTCTGAAGCCACATAGTGTGATGGGATTGTCTGAGAAAATTAGTGGAGTTTGCAATGGTCAAGGAATCAACCTTTGTCCATAGCTACAGCTTACTTCATTTCAGTTATTTACCTTGGAGAATTTCTTAGAGCAGAATTTGAATTTTCTGTCACTTTATAATCTTTATAGACTTTATAGTCCTTAGGTGTATCAATTCACAAGTCACTGTGAGATGTGGTCACCCTCCCTGTTTCACTGGTGGAGAGGAGAAGGAAATGAGGAGAAAGCTTGTCCAAGCATGATGGATTGAGAGTTTGAACCCCAACTGACACACAGGATGTGCTCTCCATTGAACCCAAGAGCATCAAGCACAGCATGTGCCTTTTCCACATTTTGTCCCACCTTGTCATATCAGTGGTTGTGGAGAAGCAGCTTATACCTGGGGCTGTTAAGCAGAGTTGTGAGCACAGCTTCCTGTATCTTTTCTGACAGCATGTGGGGAATTGACAGCCAATCTCTGTCATGACTAAGCACAACTGGAGAGAGAAGATAGCTTTTATTGTCTGTGCAGTGTTCTTTCCGTTTTCTAAAGGTTAATGGTTGTGAGCATGCTTCCATACACATTCTAGAATTTGATTTCCAATACATTAAGCACCTTCATTAGATCACTAGAACATTCTAGTTCTCATCCTTAACAGATTGGAGGGAGGGTCTGGCAAGAGCTTTTTAGTCACCAAGGCAAGTTCCTCCTTTCCATTCATTTCCCTGCCACCTCTATTGTCCATAGTCCAACTACCCAGTCCCCAAGCCCATTTCCCCCGTCTTTTGCCAGGCTTCATTCTTAGCTCGATGTCAGCGCAATCTGAGGAAACTGGCAGAAACTCCTCCCCTTTATAACACAGGAATTCCTGTGGGATGGGTCAGGGGTTCCCACCAAAATGCTCTTAGCTAGCCAAGCTTCCTAACAAGAGGGTCTATGTAGGCACATAGCCCATATGTGTCATGCACAAAGAACAACAATAGCTTATTGTAAGGTTTCTGTGCTTCAGCATGGCTTGTTTCACAGTCTGAAACCAGTTCCCATGTGGTTTCTATGTTTCTGCCATAGAGTTTGGCAGGAAGATCTGCTGTGACTGCAGCAGGTGCTCTTGCGTGCATTTTTGCTGGCCTGGTCTATCTGTGAAACTGCTGCCTTGGAACTTGCTATGGTCTGATCGTCTGCTTTATGACACTTTCTCTGTCCATGCACTGCTTTCCTGTAAGCAGTGGGGCACCACCCAAGCTGTCTCCAGCAACAGTACTTGGTGCTCTGGTTTGGTTGCTTCACTTCACAGGAGCAGTGCTTGGAATGGCAGAGTGTTTGTGTCACTCAGTGAACCAGTGATCTCATGTGAAGGCTGCCTTACACACGAGGTGCTATGGGCCATGCACTGGCATCACCATCAGAGACACACCCTAAAAAAGCCCATGTCTCCCACTCTGTTTCCCACACTCCCCCCAAGCTCTATCTTGTCCCTGACATTACTGAGGACTCTCAACAAGCCCCACTGCCCCCCCCACCCCCAGCTGTGGGACAGACACTGTCCTGAAAATCTGCCAGAAATCTTGCCTGGGAAAGTGCCCAGACAGGCACCCTCAGGAAAGTATGCCTTGCAGGGTACACATCTCCTGTCTCTGGCACAGGTGCTTGCACGGATGTGCTCATGTGCTTGGCTGCAGGGGGGAGGCAGCCCCTGGCATCATGTGCAGGTCCTCCATAGAGTAGACATGGATTCATGTGCAGCAAGGGGGAGAGGTGGATGTGCTTTGACTTCTCTGTCATCGTCATGCTGCAGTGCATCTCTGTTCGTCTGTGAGTCCTGTTCGTCTCTGTTCGTCTGTGAGTCCTGAGCTACCAACTTGCACTCTGTGTGGTAGTAATTCTGAGGGGTTCCGGTCCCAGAGTGCCACAAAGCTCACTTGTTTGGTCTGAGCACTGGATATGTCTAAGACAGTACCAGAAACCCAGCTGGCTTCTCATAATACATCCCAATAGAGGCACTCATGCAGGATCTCCCTGGCCCGCTCTCCTTCCTCTGGGCTTAACTCCTGAGTTGTTAACAGTTGTAGTCACTCTCTATATAGAGAACCCCATCCCAAAGGGGGGGCTGAGGGGAGCAAGTGGGGGGAGGAATGGTGCTGGTTCCATGCTTTCAGGTAGCAGATACTAATATCTTTAGAAGCTTGATCAAATAACCTGTAGTGTGATAATTTGACATTCCTGATGGTAGAGGTTGTTTAACATCCGGTGAACAATACAAAATGTGGACAGAAAAGTTTGTATTCTGTCTAGTGACTAAGAATGGGGAGCTCAGGTATCTGAAGGGGGAGAATCTGGCTGGCATTGAGCTGAGCTGTGCCAAGCAATTGTTCTGGTTTTGTCCTCCTCTGCCAAGAGGAGAAGGGGAAATTGACAATCTACAGTACTGACTCTCCATTGCCACCTTCTGGTTCACATACAGTAATTTGTTAGATGGGGAAATGGGAAATTTCTTACAAGATGGGCTATGTCGTTGTCGCCATGGTTGTTACATTGCATTTATATCCCACCTTTTCTTCCTTTTGCAAGGCACCCAAGGTGGCTGACCTAGTCTTCTGTTCCATTTTATCCTCACAACAACCCTGTGTGGTAGGTTAGGCTGAGAGGGAATGACTGACCCAAAGTCAACCAGTGAGTTTCATGACTGACAGTGGCCAGAACTCAGATCTCTCAAAGAAAACCAGTATTTGTACTATAAGACAAGGAGCCTCAGCTTTGGGGCTTCTCTGCAATTTCACAAACAGTTTCCAGTGGCTCCTGGCCTACCAGTGACAACCACTGAGTCTCATCTGGAGCAGTGGAGAGAATTGTGCAGGCAGTAGTGGTAGAGGTGCCTCATGGAATGATTCTGTGGATGGGTCAGGGAGACTCTCCTACTGATTATAACCTGTTAACAAGCTGAAGGGCTTTCTGCTTGGATCAGAACTGTGTATGCTTGTACTTGGAGCTTCTCTAATACTGCCCCCCTTCCTTTATAGATAAAGTACCATGAAGAGTTTGAGAAGAGCAGAATGGGCACACCTGGAGGGGAAGGTGGGGAACTGGAACGTCGCAACTCTCAGGAGGGTGCCAACTACAGGAGGGCAGCGGAGCCACAGCCACCATCACACCAGCAACCTCATCATGTCCAGCCAAGTACTCCTGGTAATGAGCTGTGATAGGAGGGGAAAGAGGAGGAAGTATCTGCAGTTTAGACTGCTTAACCACATTCATACCAGGGGTTATCTTACGGAATAAAGAAACCACCATTGTCACCACCCCCAAAGAAATCTTGGAGGTTTTGCTCTCGTTCATTTTATGTCTCTAAGGTGGTGCTGGTGTGAAGCCCTGTTAGAATAGTCATGAGCAGGGAAATTCCACCTTGGCTAAGAACATGAGAGGGGGAGCCTGCATTGAAAGTAGAGCAAAAGTAGATTGACCTGGAAGGCATATGGTTAGAGAGGGGGGAGAATAGCCTAGGTTATGCTGGATACCACATCTGTTCATCCACTGGTCATCTCAATAATCTACTATACATCTGTGAGTTGCAGCACTAGCCACATGTGGACAGAGAAAGCGATAGAAGGCTCAGATTAAATGAGGGCTAAGAGATGGAAATAAAGGAATTGGTGGGTGCACCGCAGGTTCACTACCCCAATTTAAAATGTTACTGCAATATACTGTGTTAAAATAATTACCTTGCATGTTGCTAGAAAACAACTCCTGATTTTGATCACTTTTTGCTTCCTAGGGCAAAAAGCATGCTTTCTGGAAATTGACAGTTACTCTGGATCATATGTAAACTCATAATGGAGTTCCATGTTCCAAAGGGTGGGGGTGAGCTTGTTGCAGTATTCATTGTTTTTGTACAGGGAAGTGCTAAGCTGTAATCATTTTTAGACAAGGGGCAGGAAGTTCTTAAGTGAAGAGGAATCCAAACAGCTCATCCTTCATCCACCACAGCTGGAAAACCCCTATCCTGTTGAGTATTCAGTAAGGCTGGAGTCAGCTTCTCCCATTTCTTTATCCCAGGATTCTTGTTTTTCCATTTCTTCCCCTCCTTCAAAGAAGGAGTGCTCGTGACTCCGTTACAGGGCTTTTGTTTGAGCAAGTAACCTGTGCAGGAACTGCTGGCCAGTAAGTGAAGGTGTTCAGTGCTTAGGCATGCTTCTATTTACCCAGGTACTTTTATCATCTGAGGTAAATGTGAACTGAAAGTAAATAGTGAACTTGATGGTTGGTAGTAGATATTCAAAGAACTGGAAGGCAGAAGGAAGGGATTGACTATGTGTGCAAGGGGTATCTGCTCAAGTTCTGCCTTCCCTCTGAGTCACTCTACTATCACTGCTACAGAGCATATTATGTGTTTAATTTGTCTACTACCAGTCAGGAAAAAAGGCTTTTTCTCAATAAAAGTCTTGTCCCTATTGCAGTCTCTGACAAAAGCCCTCAAAATCTCCAGTTGAAATAGATCGTACCAGCCTGCATGATTTTGCATGCTACAGGTCCAGAAGTCTTCTGTATGTTTTAATTTTTTAAAAGTGATTGCATAGAATGGCAGAAACCTAGCTGATGAATGGAAGGGAGGAAAGAGAGACTCCTGGGCTCCAACAAGTTTTGTAGCCTGTTAGTAGGTTGTGAACTTTTTCCTCCTGTGACTTTTGCGTATTGCACACAGTTTCTGCAGGAATTCAGCATTTTCTCCCAAGGTTCTGGGACAAGCTCTGCCATTGCAATCAGATCAGTGAAAGAATTAACAGCAATGTTTGTGTCTCCCCCAGTTTATCACCACCAGCCACCACAACAGCCAGCTTCTCAGTCCTACTACAAGGAACCAGCAGCGCCTGTTTCAATACAGCGCAATGCCCCATCTGGAGGAGGGGTAAGTCTGGCCTAGGAAGGCAGCTGGGCAGCTAGCCATAATGAAATAGCTATTAGGGGAGAGGGAGGGGGGAATGGGACTGAAATGTTAATGACATTTTGTCTGTTGATATGAATACTGTTAGTTCCTTCTGCCAGTGTGTAGAAAGTTCAGATTTTCACTCTGAAATTAACAATTCATAATCACACATATGAACTCTGCACCTGCACAGAGCCTCCATTGGGAACCTTCTACTGCTGACTATTTTGGCAGGAACCCCTCTCCTCCCTCCTAAAGCATCTACTGTGGGTTTCCACCTGTTCCCTCAGCTCTTCATTCATCACCACTGTGGTAGCCTCAAAGAAGATGGCAGGTCACTGTTTTCTGAACCTTTTATTCTTCTGCTCATCGTATTTCCCCCCTCCTTTTCTTCAGTTTTTCTCTTCATATATTTCCTAAAACTTCTTCTAATTTTTCCATTGTGTGATCTATTCTGTATCTAACCCTGGGGTGAAGGTATTTCTGAGTAAATCCTAAACAGCAACCTATGCAGGCATGTTGTAAAGTGCACGTATTAAGAAAAAAAATCCAATTGGGCCAATTTTCATAAATAGTTCAAAGTGGAGAAAGTGCTTTGCAGCTCTTTTGTATGAGGGAACCCCCTGCCTCCATCACAACACTGGTATTTGAACATTGATCTCAGGCCACCATTGGGCTGGTTTGCGTGACACAACAGTCACCATAGGTTATTTAATGAACAGCGAGGCTGCAGGGTGTGCAGCTGCCACTTTGCGCATCATACCTCTTAGGCATTATTGTGTGCTGTACACTCAGCAAGCATAGGTTATGCAAGGATTTAACAATCCTCACAAAACCCTAAAACAAACCATGGGTTTTGTCAGGGTTGTTTAACCTTTGCATAGCCCATGGTTGGCAGGTTCACAGAACACAATCACCCCAAGTGTTAGATGTGCAAAGCTGCACTGGCGGACACTGCAGTTCTTTACGGATTAAATAATCCATGATGAGCCACATGGTGTAGTGTGAACCAGGTTTCTGTCAGCCACAGAATCCTTGCCCATGTTAGTGTGCTGTAGTTGGAAAGGATGTTGTAGTTGGAATGATGTAGTTGGAAAGGACAATTCCTTGCTCGTATCTTTGGGTAGGTTCATTTGGTCAGATGCCATTCACTCCCTTTGGTAAATTCGCAGGACATAGGATAACATAAATCTAGGATATGAAAACATGCCTGTGGAGTGGGTACCTCTTGGCCTCCTCTTCTGTTTTATGTAGCTACTGTGTTGTAATTAATGGTTATGCTGTGCTGTTTTTGTGTTTTAAAAAACTAATTTTATACATACTATAGCTAACAAATACTCACATAGGGTACAATTAACAGAATGATTTTGTCTTAAGGTAGATGATTCTGATTTTAGTAGTGAGATTTATAAAACTCAAATTGCAGATTGAATGCATGTTACAGATTTGTGATTGCCAAACACTGAATCTCAACCAGGATGTTCTGTCCAAAGATTTTTTAAATAGCATTTGGAAAACAGAGCTGGCAGGAAAAGTCCTCCAAGATTTCACTGTGTTGCAACTTGGTCATAGTCCTTTTTCTTGATTCCTAATCCCACAGAGGCTGCCTTTCTTGAAGCCTCCAAATTGCGATGGCTGAAGAAAATTTGACTAGCATCAGTAGAGTAAATTTAACTCACCTACACAGCTTTGTACTTAACATCCCCAAGTGCTAAAGCATCCTTAATTCTTTCTTCTCCTTGTTCCCTGTCAGAAACGGTTCCGTGCAGTCTATGACTACAATGCAGCCGATGAGGATGAGGTCTCCTTCCAAGATGGCGACACTATCATCAATGTGCAACAGATTGATGATGGCTGGATGTATGGCACTGTTGAGCGGACCGGCGACACCGGCATGCTTCCCGCCAACTATGTGGAGGCAATATGAGCTCCACTCCGGTGCCACCCTGAAAGCAAACGGGGGGAGGGCTCTCATGTGCTTCTTGTTCCATTATCCCTTCTCTGCTGTCTCTCATCACACATCAGTTATTTCATTATGAACCTCTGACATGGCCATCTTTTACCCTTCTGCCAACATAGCCTTATTTTTAAAGGCATTTGAACTCGGGGCAGGTGTTCTTTTTCTTTTTTAAAAATCTATCATGTGAGACTTTCTTAAAGACCAGCTGTCATTCTATCCTTCCCCTCAGCTTTCATGGAATGTGACACTGCCTTTCTCCTCCCCAGGGCTCTGCCATTTTTGGGACTGGTGAGGATCCTGAATACAGTGAGCCCAGCTTAACCAAATAGCTACATGGAGCCAGGAAATAGTATAGGGAGGCACAGGGGAAGGGAATCATTGCCATGCTTGCTTTTGAGGAGTATGGAACTTTGAGTAAATTGAGAGTCTCTCTGATCCATTTCCATTGAAAAAATTATCTGAGGCCTCTGTTTGCATGTTTACCTTTGCTCATTTATATTTTATTAAGCCTTTCTTTCTATATAAACTTTAAATATCAGTTTGAAAGAAATCAAATAATTTGTTAAGCAGGAGAGCCTTTGTGGAATTGAATGAACCAACATATCTGAAATGTCTACATGGGAATGGAATGCCAAAGTAGTTGCTGGTACAGGTACAGAAGGAGGGGCTTAGGAGGAAAGAAAATTCTAGCTAGAGTGCTCAATATCTTGGCTCAGTAAGAGTGAGCATCTACTTAGGCTTGATGTGGGGCTTGAAAAGATCATGTACCCCATATTCCTGGGGATAAGCAGCTGGACCACAACTGCTGCCCAAGATTTTGCAGCTAAGGAGTACTAGTTTTCATCACTCAATTTTGGTGCTACCTCCTGGCTTGAGCATGTGAGAGGAACAGCATATTTGAAACACTCCTGGACTTTCCTGCTGCTTTCTCCACCACCCCAAAAATAACTTCAGAAAGAACTTCTGAACCAGCCTATGCAAGACTCTCCCAGCTAATGCCTGCAAATAGCCACTTCTCCAAGATTTCCTGGTGTTAGTGTTGTCCGCCCCCCCACCCACATCTTTGTTTTTGTTAGCACTTAATGTGCTCAGTAACCTTAAGTATAACAGCCTTGGTATGTAGAATCACATTTATTGTGGAGGTGCTATATGTGGGACCAATTGCTATTTTTCATATTGGGAGCATTCATAGGGCTCCTTGTGTAGGCTTTTACTTCTGGATCCAAGTCCCTGTCAGTCAAAAGGCAGACTAGTCAACAGCTTCATCTCCCTGTCTTGTACCTTTTGAGCCAAGCAATGTTTACAATCGTTTGTCCTCTTCACTGCCCCTCAACCAGCTTGGTAGTTGGGTGAAGGGGTTTAGGGGAATGAATTCCTTGCACTAGAAATATACCTCTTCCCCCTTTCTCTGGTATCAAGCTGGCAGTTGCTGGCTTGGTATAGTATCATGGACCAAAAGCAAATTTTGTGGATTATTTTGCTGTCAAAATAGGGACCTACTATATAACTGGAAATTTATGGAGCTGGAATTGTGTAATGGAAGAACAAAGGCAGGGCAGATTCCTCCTTAGCAGGAGTGAGATTCTTAAGTTGCCATTCATTCATTTACTGCATGTCGATTGCCCCTTCTCTTGCTACTCTTAAAGATCCCCAGTGACACCTCAAAGTTGCATCTGTGCTGGCAAAGAAAGGCAAGTCCTTTTGGAGAAACAAACAACCCCCCTGCAGTGCAGCAACCCAAACCATTAGAAATGGCTCGGAAAGCTGGTGTCTTTTACTCATTTAGAAGTGATGTGATTGTAAATCTCTGCAAACAGAAATGATATCTGGGAAGTATCTAGTGTCTTTAAATATAATGTGAGAAGTTGCATTGAGCCTAGTGCTCTCTAATCAAGGCAAATAAAATGGTTGTTAGGCCTTTAGAGGTAGACTTTTTAAACTTTCTGCTTTTAAAAAAAAATGCCCTTCAAAAGCACATTTATGTACAGGTACTTGGGTCTGCTGAATTCCTTCCAGTTATTTGTTACTTCTTCAGTACCTGGATTACATAAGGACCAAGTTGAAAAACTCATTATTGATGCCAGCATTGTTTGCATGTATGTATTCTTGATCTCCCCTTTCCCCCTTCTGTGCAGTTTATTGGGGGCTAGTTTTCTCCCCACATTATTTCCACATTTCTGTGTAATTTTGTGGTGCAGAAAAAAGAACAAACATACATAATATTAATAAGCACCCACTTAGTCTCTTTACAAGAGGTGCAAAATAGGCTTACGTTAAGCAAGAGTTAAGGAGAGCTTTCTCCCTCAATGTTTAGATCCCTCAAGTTGAAAGCAAAGGGATACTTCATTTTGTCACTCCTTTAGTAAGTCTTGCATTTTTGTACCTGGTTGAGTGTAGTATGCTAGTGTCTTCTGGCTTAATCTTGCAGGAGATTTAGGCATCCCATGTGGGGTCCCTGCCTCAACCTAAATTGTGAAGTTCTTGCGCATCCCACAAATCAGTGTGGCACTATTTGGTCAGAAATAGTGACCAAATCATCTACTAAGGTAGTAGAAGCACAAACATTTTAGAATATTTTTCATAAAGTTGTAGTCAATGCTTTTCCCTTAGACACTTGCACTAGTAAAAGAGGTGTTAAAGGGAGAAGTGTTTAAGGCTTCTCCTTGCCATATCTTTACCCCAGAAAGATCAGTTTGTTGAAATAGAAATGTCAATGGTGGCAGCTTTTTCTTTACAAGGACAATTTTAGAGGGAGTTATGTGTCTAGGGACCACCTGACCTTGGATAAACTTTCAGCTGGTGCCAACAAGAGTGACTGACAGGTGAGATGTCACATTCTTCTTGGTGCTAAGACAGTAGCACAAGCTTAGTAATGGCTGTTTTTCTAACTGGTGAGAATGAGGTAAAATCATGTACAGACAATCCTTGAGAAGACAGCTTTGTGTAAGGGAGATACAAAATAGCATAATGTGAATAAATATTTTTAGAGGACCAAATAAAATACCCATTTTTTAAAATCTCTCCTAGCTTTTTCACCCCTGCCCTGGGAGAAACAGTTTCTCACTGCTTGATTTTTTTTCCTGCCTTCTTTGACTTATGCACTTTTGCCTTTGATTTTTTTCCAATAGCTGAAAAGCACCTAAACCTGTATTTAAATAAATAAAATGTAAAAAAAGAAAAACAGCTAAATTGCATCTGTGTAGCCATTTTATTCATGTCAAGTCTTCTATACATCTTAGCTTTTCAAGCTAGATTTCAGTGTCTGATATTAGAATGATTTTTGTGGGTTTGGAATATATTTTGGGTTTTCATTTGTTGTCTTTGTGTATTTCTTCTTTATGGGCTTGCATGCCCTCTCCAAAAGTCATTTGGCCTTTTTCAATGGCACCATAGATTCAGATGTAACACTCAGTCTCTTCTGGTTTACACCAGTTTGAAAATAAAAGTATAATTTTTACCTACTTGACTGAATTACATTTTCATTAATAGCTTTATTTTCCTTCTGCGATAGAAGTGAAAGTATAAACTTGAAACACTGTAATCTCATATTGGATGCCACAATATCTTCTTAATAAGGATTTATGTTACCCAAGATACACAGCTAATGCTTCTCTCTCATGCTTTACCAATAACTAATAGCGACTTCTTGTTGGAAAGGGGTAATATGGATGAACTTTGAGATGGAAAGTTCTTAAATAAATATTTACAGACGTTAATGCAGTGTCAATATGAATGGATCCCCCATGCCCTTTTGACAAATAAAAGACTATTATTCCAACAGAACAAATGGCCACCTTCCATAACACAGTGGATTGAGGACTTGATCAGACTTTTTTGAATGGGTGGTCTTTAGGCATAATTTAGCCATGAATTAAATACATGACTATCTGGACTGTTTTTGTTTATGTCTATGCACAATTACCCTTGGAATAGTAGTATGTTTTGCTACCATATATACTGATGTATAAGACAACCCTTGAAACAGGAAATAGGCAAAAATCAGGGAAGCATCTTACATGGCAGGTGAAAATTTTTAATCACACAGAAGGACCCTGTACCTGCAGAGGATAGGTTCTAAGCTTCTCTAGTGAAAAACTGAATATCTTTAGGGTCTCTGGGGACACCATGCTTTTTGTGTAGGCACTAGCCAGGCTCATGTGGTTTGTCTTTCAGTGGACATGAAGACTCTAGAGATACTCGCAGTTTTTTTCCTAGAGATATTTACTGTTTTTTGCTAGAGAATATACTCAAATATACTAGCCTATAAAAGGACCCTCAAAACCAGAAATAGCAAAGCAAAATTTGGGGGGTTTTCTTATATGCCTGACATATGACAAACGCCAGAAAAACAGCCCAAACTATCAACCTTGTTTTACACAAGTCACTATATATTTTATATACTCAAATATAGGGGGTACTAGTACATATTTTATTATGACATTGCACTTCTGTCCCATCCTTTTTCATCTCAAGAACAGAGTGGTTTACATAGCTCCATTTCATCCTTACAACAACCCTGTGAGGTAGGTTGAGTGAAAGTCTATGAGTGACCCAAAGTCACCCAGTACTATTCATGGCTGACTGGGAATAAGACTTGGATCTCCTGGGTCCCCACATGGCACTGAATATACATTCACTGTAATAGATTGACTCAAATTACATGTAAGAAACATGTAAAGCTGCAGTGATTAAGAGCACGGGAACAGGACTCAAAAGATCTGATTTCTAATCCCCATTTTTGATACGTGGGGGTGAGAAACAAAGGTTTCAAAAAGAGACCAGTTTAAGCTTCAAATCATACCAGATTTTTTCATATGGTCAAGGTGACCTTAACACAAACTGCGGAGCACTTATGCACTAATTTTTACTGTTCCTTCACTCAGTTTCAACCAAATCTCACAATATCCAAGTCTGAATAAATAGAGTTCTTTGAAAGTGGTCTTCTTTTACCACAGATGGCATAACATAGAGCTAAGAAGGTTGTTCTATAGCAAGATGTGACCATAAGAAGCGCCGTGCTGGTTCAGACCACAGACCTATCTATTTCAGCATGACAGTGGGCAGCCAAGTGCCCACAAGAAGATAGGACCACATTGGTACCGTTCTGTTTGTGTTTTGCAGCAACAGGTACGAGACCATTCAGAAGTATGCAACTAGGTGACACATAGCTGCCATGATTTATTATTATTATTATTATTATTATTATTATTATTATTATTATTATTATAACATTTCTATGCCGCCCCTTGCCGAAACCTCGGGGCGGCTTACAACACGATAAAATACATTGAAAATAACTCTTGTCCACCATTAATTTGTCTAAACCTCTTTTAACACTGTCCAAGTCGGTGGCTATCACTATATTTGGGCACAGATAAAAAAAAATAAGGGGTATGAACTTTGTAATATATAAACCATGAGCCAAAAGATTGCAGAATGATGGAACAGAAGTGAGCAACTTTTTGGTCAAATCATTTGGAGAGGCACAACTCCCCTCAGCTGTAGGCCACACAGCCAATGGTAAGAAATTATGGAAGTTGCAAAACATCTAAAGGGCCACGAATTGCCCATTTCTGATCCTACACATGCTGTTTATCAATATACTGTTATCCCTTATTTTTTATTTATTTATTAAATATTTATTTAATAAAAATATTTATTAAAACATTTCTATGCCGCCCCTTGCCGATGTTTAATAGCATATAAAGGAAACTAAATGAAACCAGAAGCCATCTTTTCCACAACCATAAGTAATATGGATGTTTGAAGAAATGCACAATGGATTTGAATGAGTTCGTAATTCTATAAATCTGATGTGTGAATATCAGAGAGGACTGACTTTTCTCAGTCACATGGAGTTGCAGGGCTGGGGTTTTTTTTAACTTTCTGACAGGATTTGCATAAAGTTGCACTTGGGCTATTGCACACTTAGACAAATGGAACAAATTATTGTGCATCCCTAAATATCTGATTGTATCAATGAGCAGATGAGGAAACAAAAGACTCCTGTCAATCCAAGAAACACAGACAAAATGGATTTAACACAATGGAGGACAGGAGAGCCTGGAGGAATGACCCCTGCCCCCATCATTGCGTTGTGATGGGTCGAGTATGACTGCAACTAAACCAAAAAAAAAACCCACCCCCAAAAAACAACCATGTACAGCGGTGCCACTGAACTCCACCAATCAATCTATAAGCAAACCACTAGCCACCACAAGTGCCACAAAGGCACTTGATGAAAGCAAGGGTCAGTCTGCCCTGACAAGATCACTATGCCTGAGCTGTATCTGGGGAATATTGCCAAGAACTTCTTTCGCCAGGGTGTTGTGCCCTATGCCATCCAACATCCTGTCTCTTTGTAGCAATCTTTGGTGCACTTCAAGGGGTTAAAATGAGCAGGGCATCTATCAAATTCAAGAAGTTATTTATATATGCATGCAATCACTTGATTTCAATTGGTCTTAATTATGCTTAATTTCCTCTGGATTGTAGCAGATCTTTCTGTCACATTCTGGGTCTTCAGAAATTTGCATCAAACAGGCAGTAGTGAATTCCTGCTCTCAGCTACAAATCGGAAGTAGGAACCTTAACTGTCTGACATCTCATTTCCTTCTGCTCCCCACATCTCTCTTTTCGGCTGTCTTCCATGAAGAAAAGAGCAGTTCTGTTTCATCTGGAATCATCTTTCTGTCCTATTAAGATTCTGCTGTGTGTGCATGCACCACTGCATTGCCTTGCCTGTAAATCCCTCCCTCTTTCCCTCCCTCCCTGCACCATCTGTCTGTGCATCTCTCTCTCTCTCTCCCTTAGCCTCTGATTGCAGGGACCATAACCACTGTTCACATTTCTCTCTTCATCACCATGTTGGACATCTTTATTCTCATGTTTTTTGCCATCATAGGCTTGGTTGTTTTATCCTACATCATCTACATGCTGTAAAATCTCCAGCTACAGCACCAAAAGCAGCCTGTGGAAGAAAGCCAAGCAGGAGGCACATTTTGCCCATTTAATGCAGTTATCCCAGCAATGTTGCAGGTGGGAATTCTGATTTCTCTGACTAGCATCGCTGGTATTTAAACCCCTAAACTGTGTTTTTCAATCTTTGGTGGGAGGCAGCTGGGGGTTGATTGTATAGCAGCAGATACAGGGGTTCTATTTTTCTAGCTCTCTCCTAGAAAAGAAAAGCATCTTCCAATCTTTATGAAGCTGCAATACTCTGTATTTTGCTGAAAAGAATGCATGTTTAAAAATAATGTGTAGTCTAGCGTTTATTCATTTTCCATTTGAGAATCATATTCTTTCTTTTCCGGTGTCTTGTGTTCAGAATAATGTTAGTTTTGTGATGATGCAAATATATATGTGTTATCTTCTGCAGCTTTTATTCTGGCTTTAAAAATTAAATAACAGATTAATGCATTGCTTTAAAACATAGTCTGGTGCTTGATGTCCTCTGATAAAACTTGCCATGTGTATTTATATTCATATATCCTCCACACACACTTTTACCTTAAAATCTGGATTTTCTGCAGATAGGAGACCCCACCCTCAATCAGATCCAGCGTCACCAAGGACTGGCAGAGCTATTCCAGAGCATTCTGGAGAAAGGTTAACCCTTCACATAACTAACTGGCAAAGAATGATTCAGCAAGGACACCTGAAGATGTATCTCAACATTTCAAAAGACTTGAACTGGAAATGCACTGGGAGAACAAATGACAAAAAATGAGATGGACAAAAGCAGACTGCAAGATCAAATGGAATGCTTCTAATTGGAGAGAGAAAGTGATTGCCTCTGCTGTTCTGGTGTTCCCCCTTTCCCCCAAAAGATCTTTCAACTAGGTTGGTCTATATGTTTAGATAGGTGGCTTTTGAATGGAGAAAATAGAATTGTCTGTAACTTTAAGTTCTGTATAGGAAACTAGAAACATACAAAATATTGGTAATGCCCAAACAGAAGGGAAGGGGAAACATTGATAAGCCAGCCACATTCCACTTAAAGTTTGCCACACAGAATTCCAACAAGAATGTGTGTGAGCAGAAATAGGCTTTTACACATAGATGAGCTTGTTGAGGTGTGGTGATACATCTGGGAAATCAGTAGCGCATCCAAAATCCCATGCCTGTCCCGGTGTAGAAGGCAACAGCCTGAACACTGTGTATCTGAGGGTGCAGCTTGGTATTGCTGTTCTGTGGGTCAGGAGATTTATTTTTGCTCTTATTTTTTAAAAGATAAAGCTTTTCAAGTAATATTTTTATACATGGTTGTTTTACTGCCCAGTAAGTTGCCTGCAAAATAGCTAGAAGTGATTTGGGTAGGTGGGGATCATATGAATGCTAGGAGTATGCTTTCCCAAACTGTAGAGTGCTCATATTTTTTCCCTACATACAAGGAAGTGACTGTGGCTTAGAGTTGTGGGCAGGTGGTTTTCTTTGGATGAAAATGCTTTGGGACAGCAAT